TACCGTCTCCATGCTTCTCTGTTTTCCAGGCTGTCTCTTCTCAGCTTCTCTCCCTCAGATCCCCTGCAGCTTATTATGCAGAGCAGCTGAGCTCCTGATCTAGCCAACTGAGCAACCCAGGAGGAGAGAATCCTTTGAAAGGGTTCTGGGCAGCTCACAGAACCTCCATTGTATGATCAGAGAACCAGGCCAGAAAAAGGGAGAGAGCAAAAGAAAGAGAAAGCTCTACAGCCAGGGTCAAGGCCAACAACTCCAGACACCAACAGCTTCCCCCATGTCATAGTTTCATGTCCTGAAGCCTCCTGCTCTGGACCCAATGATGCCGCCACTGCCCCACTGCCAGTGCTGTTCCTGCAAACCAGTGCTGCTAATACTGCTCAGCCCATGCAACCACCACTGCCAAAACATCTTCTTCTCTGCCTGCTTCTTTGCATCTCAAGCTCCCAGTTTCTAGTCTGGATGCAGGCATCTCATCAGCCAAGCCTATGTCTTGTGCCCGTTCTTGCCATAGCTGCAAAGGAGCCTGGAAAATGAAGCATCTGGTTTTTGGCTTCTGTGGTGAAAGGAAGACTCTGCTTTCTGTCTGACCTCACACAGTGGGAAAATCCACAACCACAGGAAAGGGATTTTGATGTGGGGCAGCTGAAAGTCAAACCCATTTGCTTCACCTTTCCACTGTCTACTTGACTCCTGGCCTTTCTGGCTCCTTGAGGACTTTGTACAACCAAAGACTTGATATAGTCATTGCTAAAAGGTCATCTTCTCAAGTCTCATCTTCTAAGAACCTAAATCTTGGACAATTTTTTTCTTTTAACCTGTCTTTTCTTTTGCCTGAAATGAAATTGCCTATTTCATTAACCCTAATTTTAGAAATAAGAAGATCCATGCCCAAAGTAAATGAAACTGTTCTCAGGTGTCCAGGGTGATAAGTCATTTATTTTCTAGCTATGATTTAAGAGCAACTTTCAGACAACTTCTGTCCCTAAAATTCAGTTTTTATTTTGAACCATTTCTGATGTATCCTGAGACTGTAACAGAGAGAGCAGTCACAAGAGGAACGCTATGGATTCCCAAAGGTTGAGTCTTCCTTCCAAGTTTTCTTTACACCTGCACCATTCACACACCTGTGCTATTCACACACCTGCACTGTTCATACACCTGCACCATTCACACACATGCACTGTCCATACACCTGTGCAATTCACACACCTGCACTGTTCATACACCTGCATCATTCACACACATGCACTATCTATACCCCTGCACCATTCACACACAGGCACTGTCTATACCCCTGCACCATTCACACACATGCACTGTCCGTACACCTGCACCATTCACACACATGCACTATCTATACCCCTGCACCATTCACACACATGCACTATCTATACCCCTGCACCATTCACACACATGCACTATCTATACCCCTGCACCATTCACACACATGCACTGTCTATACACCTGCACCATTCACACACATGCACTGTCCATACACCTGCACCATTCACACACTGCACTGTCCATACACCTGCACCATTCACACACATGCACTGTCCATACACCTGCACCATTCACACACATGCACTGTCCGTACACCTGCACCATTCACACACATGCACTGTCTGTACACCTGCACCATTCACACACATGCGCTGTCCGTACACCTGCACCATTCACACACATGCGCTGTCCATACCCCTGCACCATTCACACACATGCACTGTCCATACCCCTGCACCATTCACACACATGCACTGTCCGTACACCTGCACTCTCCAGTATTAGCCAGGTGTGGCTACTGAGTGCTTGTAATAGGGAATATCCAAGTTTCAGCACTTGAAATATGCTAAAAAATGTAAAAGCCAAACCAAATTTTGAAGATGTAATACTTACTCTGAATGTAAAATATCTCATTACTAATTTTTATATTAATTACATGTTAGCATATGTAATTAATATAGTAATATAGATATATTGACTTCAACAAAATATTTTATTAAAATAAATGTCATCTGTTTCTTTTTACTTCTTAACTGTCATTTAAAATTACATATGTGGCTTGCATCACGTTTATATTACACTACTCTACACACTGAAATGCACCTATACATTTCAGTCAGTATGTAGCCCTGAAGAATCCATACCACAAAACAAGAAGACGTCTCTGAGACCAAACAGGCACTGTTATACTTTTTGAATTATCTTGCATGAACAAAATTAATCTATTCATCATTCACTTAGCAATGTTCTAGATTAAGTAATTAATTGATTAACCATTATTGAGAATCTACTATGTGCCATACACTGTGTTGGAGAATGGGACAACTGTGAACAAATCAGACCCAGCCCCTGCCTTTGTGTAAAGTCAAGTAGTTAAGAGAGCACACTTGGGAGCCTGACAACTTGGGTCCAAATTCTGACTCCATCCCTTACCAGCCATGTGATCTGGAACAAGTTAAAACAGCCTAGTTTTCTTATATGTAAAACAGGAATTTTATCTGGCTAAGATGCTGCAAGAAATAAATTAGTAAAAGGCAAATAGAGGCGAACTATGTTAGTCAGCTAGTGCTGTATAACTGAGCAGCTTGCATCACGCTGCAAGTTATACAAACAAGTTGTAAAAGCAATATGTAAGTTATAAAACAACATGCATTTATTATCCCACTGATTCTTTGGATTAGGGATCAAGGCAGAGCTTCCCTAGGTCCTCTGCTTTAGGCTCTCTCACAAGGCTGCAATCAAGATGTTAGCCAGGGCTGGGGCCTCATCTGAAGGCTTAACTGGGGAAGGATTGACTTCCAGGTTCACTAAATGATGATTGTCAGGATTCCTGTCTTTTGGGATATTGAACTGAAGTCTTCAGTTTCTAACTGGCTGTTCCTTGCTTGGGCATCTCCAACCTGGCACTTGGCTTAATCAAAGCCAACAACAGAGAAAGTCTCCCTGCCTTCATGGAGCTTACATTTGAGCTGGCTGTATGGCAGAGGGTAGCGGGAGGTTGGTGGAAGAGAGACAGGCACTAGCAATGGAAACAAATAATTGCTTAATCTAAATTCCATTAAGGTTACATCCCCAAATTACAGAGTGTTCATTCTAAAATGCCAATCTCATCATGGCCCTCTTTTTTTTTTTTTTTTACTAACTATGCTCTAATTGGTAGACTCATTGCTTTAAAGATAAAGACGGAATTTCTTAATATCCACTATAACCTACTGTTCCATGCTGTGTTTCCAGTGCATCTACCATAGCAGTAGTTGAATGCTTACATAGAGTAGCTACTCTGAAAATGATTTTTAAAATGTCTTCGATTTTCCATTTTTTTGCCTTTTATTTTTCCACTTGTGTTCATATCTTTACATTAAATGATATTTTATTGAAAGGAGCATCTTAGTGATATTCCAGTAAAACTGGAATTAATAGTCTTGAACTCTTGAAGATGATAGTATTGGTACCAACATCTTCTTGAAGGCCCTGTCCATCATTATATCATCATTATCATAAATACCGATGTAAAGCTGACTTTTGTTACCATAAAAACAGGATTAAAGCCTGAGGCAGAAAGATCAGTTGAGACCAGGAATTAATTTGATTCCAGCTTCGGCAACATAGTGAGACCCTGTCTCTACCAGAAAAAAAGATGAAATGTTCTGGCCCTTTACCCGAGTCAAGAACATGGGAATAAGTAGAATTGCTTAGAAGCGAACCATAATATAAGCTTCTTTAATTTGCTTCTGGTAGATTCTGTGCTGGAGATGTATGGGTGGAAGCAAAGAATTTTTTTTAAAAAATCAAAATAATTCTTCCTATTAATAAGTTGGTGGGAATTCCAACAGAAGCAGTCACTAGACAGATGCTATCCAGTGAGTTGAGAGTCTCAGGAGAACTGGAGGCTGGTACATGTAGAATCAAAGAGCCTTAGAGCTGGAAAGACATCACAGATGATGCAGTGCAAGCCCCCGGCCACAGAGTCTTTTCAATGTCACACCAATCCTGCAGCTTCTTTTACTTCCACCCTTCTAATTATAGAGAACTGGCTCTTTTACAGGGCTGCCATTTTCATCATTAGAACCCAGCTGTTATTTGCACTCTTATTTATTTTAAGGTATTTCCCAGGAATTGCTGCACATTAAAATTTTTAACATTTTAGGCGACAGAAATTTTCATTGAATCCTCTTGCTGTGCAACAGCCCCCACACACTTGCTCTCAGGAGTCTCACCCATCTTAGAAGTCCTTTCTGTCATACTTCTCTTCAGATGTCTCCAACATGCACCGCCTCTGAAATTTTTTTGTTCCAGCCATCTTCAGGAGGATGAACAGTAAGTTCTCAGAGTGCCAAGATGGCAAAGCGATGCCTAACACATCGTCTGACCAATGAAGAATAATTAGAACATTATTCCATGATCTATTTTTCTATTATTGTAGCTTAATATCATGCTAACTTTGTAAGCAACCATTTCACACTCTTGGGTGCCCATTGAAAGTTTGTAGTCAGTTATAATCTTTGAATTTTTGTTTCACATGAAGTGTTGCCAAAGCAGATATTTCCCAACCTGCGTCTGTGCTAGAGTGTGTGTTAACCTCAGACCTCTCTGTGATTACTGGAAAATCGCTGGATGTAAACCTTACTTTATTAAACTATAAAACGACCCTAATAATGTTAGAACCACATGTGAGGTGCTTTAGGAAGTACCATGTCTGGTAGACATGTGCTTCTCCTGTAAAGAACAGGCTATTTATGACCACTATCTTCTCAAAAGACCGTAGGTGACCAGGCTAATTACCTTTCTAAAAGCTAATTTTTAATTCACAGCCTTCCCTTCTTTTTACTCTACTGGAATCCCTGCTTCCAACAATTAAACACCCGTCGAGTTAATTTTCTTTCCTCTCCACAGGTTGACTGAGCTCTTGACTTTCTTTTTCCTTTTTTAGAACAGCTGGTCAGGTCAAGAAACCCAACCCCTCTCCACCAACCGGAGCCCCGCCCCCTGCCCCCACTGGCCGGGGAGTGGAAGGCCAAAGACGGAGAGGAGGGCGCTCGCTGCTGCTCCCCGCCAAAGCGCAGGCTCGGCCTGTCTTGTCCAGTGGGACTGCAAAGGGTCACTCTAAAACTTGCTGCAGCCGGGTCTTGTTAGGTGGCTGCTGGTGGCTCCCCACCGGATTTTCCTTCTCCCTCTCTCTGTCTTCACAGATCCGTTCCCAAAAGGAGTCTCCTGCTAAAACCTCATCATCTCAAGTTGAGCTGCCACTTCACCCAGGAGGGTAAGGACCTGGGACCATTAGTCGCCAATTCCTGCCTTCTAGATCCTGGGGTGTGTGTGGATGTGCGGGTGGGAGAGGGTGGGCTGAGTGTTTGCGGTTGTAGAGCAATTTTACTGAAGTGAGTCTACAGCTGGGTCAGGTGGTTCGTGTCCCTAATCTGAAGTTGGGAGGCAAAAAACATTTTTTTGAAATCTGAGAAATATAATGTGTTAGGAGAATGTCACAATAACAGAAATGCATGAGAGTGATGCCCTACAAACGTAAAACCACCTGTAATTTCTAACAAAAATTCTCAGTCTCTAAAGCTTAAGATATATTTTTCTTTCACTACTTTATAGAGAAGGAGAGAAAATTCTTAGGCTTTGTTCACAAAGTTTAGAATTCTACCTTTATTTTTATCAAAAATCTTTAAAATATTTGGTACTGATCAGTTTGGATAAAATGTTACCATTTTATCTAAATTCGAGGCACAAAAATCAGGCATCTCTGAATTCCCAGAAATATAACCTACTGACAAAATAGAAATATCCTTCCTGCAAAAAAACTCAAATTTGTTATTTGGCTAAAAAATAGATTTTTGTCTTAAATGTGCACATATCATTATGCTGACATACATTTTATATTAAAAATCATGTTGGAAGTACACGGTAAAGTGGAAACCTCTCCCCACCCCCAAAGTTGGACTTAAAATGGCAAGTGACAGAAGCCAGGAGGGTTTCTATTCCTGGAGGTTAGGGCTGATGAGCGCCGACAGATGCAGTGATAGGAATGTGTCCAGGACAGCGAGCAGGAGCAGCTGATTCACCCCTTTGGCAAAAAGACATTCTGGGAACCCAGTTCATACTGGCATGAGAGTGACAGTGACACTTTAGCACACATGGCTTTTCAGCTTGCCCTGTTGTAGACTCTCCCAGGAAGCATGGGTGCAGGGCAATGGGAAGGAAAATGACCTTAAATGTGAAGTAATAACTTTTCTGTAACCAGTTTTGGGAGCCTTCATCTGGGATCTGTTTGGGGCTGGGAAGAATTTAAGTGCAATACTTCCACATGGACTTGCCGACTTAACTGACAAGGGTCCAATTATGTACCTTTGCTTAGAGGCATTATTCTCATTCTCCGGTGGTTCTGGATCTATTTTGGGTATGGACCTCATGAAAACGCTGAGCCCACTGTGTGGAAAGTACACATAAACACATGCACGCTATATGTTTCAGACTATTCCACAGGACTCATGGACTCACCTAATACCTAACCCAGATCAGGAATGTCAGGTACAAGTCAGGTCACCCAGCTACGTTTGAATTTCAGGTAAGCCACAAATCATCTTTTAGTATAAGTATATCCCCAACACTGCCTGGGACATACTTATACTAAAATATGATTCATAGTGTATCTGAAATTCAAATGTAACTTGACATCTTGTATTTTATTTGCTAAATCTAGCAGTTCAGACCCAGATACATAGATGCCATGTGAAGAAACCCTGTCTCAGTCTGTTCATCCCTATCTGATAATGAGTAGATTCTAGAGATATGGAAGGTCATATTAAAGGGAGAATTGGTGTAGAAACAGATTTTGACAATTCTGACAGCAAAAGTAAGCTGTATATTCATAATTCTCTGCAGTATTATACAAGAAAAAGTAATGGTTCTCCTTGTTTGACAAATGATTAAGCTGAAATCCTAAAAGGTTGGATGTTCTGCCACAGGTCTAACAAGTGGTTAGAGCAGAATGAATACCAAAACCCAATTTTCAGTTCTGTGATGATCAAAAAGGCATCAGTCTTAAAACTCAATTTGTAACCCCCTCTCCTTCCAACACACAAAATAGTAGGAAAAACAAACAGCCATTTTACTAAAGCTTTCAACAAAACACAAACAAAAACTTTTGTACTGTGTCTTTGTGTCCTATATCCAGCCATAGAGAACAGAATTATAGTTAACTTTGTGCATAGAGTCTGTATACTTTATAGGTAAAAGCTAGGCACAGCCTATAGCTAAGTTGAACCACATGAAATTCAAAATATTTGCTTTTAATTTCATATTCAATCTAATACTTCTAAAAGAAGTGCTTTATTATCTGATCAACAAATTTATGCAAGCCCCCCTTGGCCCCATTTATTTGGCTTCCCTAACCTATTGGATTTTCACGTTCTTACTACCCTTAATAGAATAAAGAAATCCACAGGATCGATGTGTCCCCAAACAAATTTATTTTACTTTCAAAAAGGTAACTCTTTTATTCCAATATTTGGAACCAGAAAGAACCATTTCATGTTCTCTATATAAAAAACTTTAATTTTATAAACATGAGCTGTAGCTTGCACTGTCTCGATCTTCTCGTGTTAGAAAAAGATAACTTTTAACCTGCTACAGTCTTTATCCCACCCTGGATTTAAAGAAGACAATATAGGGGGCCAGGATTTCCGTGGGTTTGAATTTTTCCTCCAGTACACACTGCATGCTTACTTATGTGATCTTGGACAAGTTTTTTTTTCCTCTTTCTGATTCTTCTTCATTTGTAAAATGAACGTAATATAACCTACCTTTTAGGATATCTGTAATATTTAAATTTAAAAAATAAAATTATGTAAAAGTACTTAACCCAGGGTTCAGCACACAATTTACCCTCAATTAACAAATGCTATGTTATTTTAGGTGGAAATGGAGCTATCCATTTACATTAAATGCATAATACAGATTCCTGCTTGGTGATGTATATTTAGGAATTACTATACTTAAATTTGGCAAATACAAAAGATGATGAAAAATGTGATGATTTTCGTAATTCTGCCCAGCTGCTTATCAGGTGTTGAATACATGGCACTAGAAATGGCCCAAGAGCCAGGATCTGCAGCAGGCATGGGAGGGGAGTGTGGAATTGCGTCTCTGTTACCCTTCTGCCCAGTTTCTAAAGGGCAGGTCTTCCAGGGTAGTCAAGAGGCTGCTCTAGGTGACAGCAGATGGAGCAGAGGGAGGGAGGCTGTGGAGTTCATAGCCAGGGAAGGGGAATTCTCTGGGCTTCCTCCACAGAATGAAAGGACAGCTCTAGTAGCAGAGGGACCGTCTATAACCCTTTGCATCCTGTGCAAAGTCTCTTCTTTGACCCAAAAGGGAAGGGACTGGCAGTGCCCCCAAATAGCTGTTCATCTCATTACACAACCTCAGCTGCTGTGGCTAAACCTGCTCTTCCTTCCAGAATTCCTACTATGGTAGGAACTCTGTGAAAAGTGCAAGCCACCAACAGTCCCAGCGGAAGCGTGTGAAGTTCTTCCTCCCTTTGATCCCAAAAGGCAATGTGTTAGACGCCCCCACTAGGTAGCCAAGCAGAACCAAGCCTACTGTGGTTTAGGAAAAATGGAGAAACAGCCTTCCCACTCTCCCAGCCACAGGCAGCTTAGCAAAGATGCATGCCGTGCCATGCAGACCATAACCCGAGCCAGAGCCCTCCCTAGGGTATAGTAGTCACATCCTGGCTGATGGCCCTGACTACCAAGTTTGGGGACGCCCTGAGCAGCTGACAATAAGACATTCACTCTGTTAAAAAGAAAAAAGAGAGAGAGAGTTTGTTTGTTTTTCTTTTAAAAAGAGTAAGTAAAATCCTCCTCCAACTTTACAAAGCTAAAATACAAATAGAATAAAAAAGAATGGAATGCTTTCAAAATGTGTTGCTCAGCATCTAAGTTATACTCTATATATGAACACATATTATTGTAATTATTGCAACTCATTATTGTAACACCTCTTCCTCACTGCCACATTTTGACCGCCATTGTGACCATGATTGACGATGGCCAAGGAGTGCACAGTGAACATTTGTATCATTGTGGAAAAACGCAGTGAGAGTTCCTGTGTGAATTGCTCTGACTACATGTTCACATGTGACCTGGTTACTGGGTAATACGTTGTTTAAAATACACAGTTTTTCTCTAGTCATCTTCTCTTTGCCCACACTGTAAACCTCGAAGCCCAGCACTATCACCAAATTAGTAAATGGAAGTGAATTAAATTCTTCCATGTTCCTTTCCTGCACATACATATTACTTTGCCAGCCCTGTGTGACTTCTTTCCTTGGAGATTGCCCTTGCTCTTCACTTAAACATGACTGTGGAAAAGTCCTGGCTGGTCAAGTGGCATGCTGTGTGTTTGGGTGGATCTGTGTTTCTGTGCACCCAGTCTGACGTGCCTTGTGTCAGTACTCCCCATAAAGGCTCCAATGTGAGGGGCCTGGAGAGTTCGTTGAAGTCTTCCCTGTATGTCCCATGAGGACATAGCCTCTGGGTTCCGATCCCCCGTGAAGATGGAGCTAGTCTTTTCTGTAACAGGGCCTGGAGCACAAGATGCAGCTTAGTGATTCTTTTTGTTTGTTTGTTTCTGAGACAGAGTCTCACTCTGTCACCCAGGCTGGAGGGCAGTGGCACAATCTCAGCTCAATGCAACCTCTACCTCCCAGGTTCAAGTGATTCTTCTTCCTCCTGAGTAGCTGGGACTACAAGCACATGCCACCATGCCTGGCTAATTTTTGTATTTTTAGCAGAAACAGGGTTTCACCATAATGGCCAGGCTGATCTCAAACTCCTAACCTCATGATCCGCCCGCCTCAGCCACCCAGCTTATTGATTCTTACTGGCCTACAGTCCTCCTTAAGTTGAGAAAAGCAGTGGCTTTGGGAGATGCAGGAGCAGGGCCACAGGCGGAGCATTTATTAGGACACAGGAACAAATGAACAACTCTGCAGCCCTAAAGTCAACATCGGAGCTTTGCTCAGCTTCAAAGCAATGACCCTGATCCTCAGGTTCCGCTGAAGGGTTTGCGCAGTGTCCTTATTGGAGGAGCATGGCACAGATTGAGAACACTTGGGCAGGTGAATAGACAGCCTTACCTATGAGTTGCAGACCCAGCAATGAGATATCATGGTAGCTCTAAAGAAAGACTGAATTTACGAGCATGTCTAGGAAAATTTGGCCCCAAGAAAGTTGTTTGCAGGCTTTGATTTTAACAGTTCCTCCCTCCCTCCCTCCCTCCCTCCCTCCCTCCCTTCC